ATCCTTGCATATATATATATATTCATCATATAGGATATATCTCATTATTCATATTGCTTATCCTAGCTTATATAGTTGTTATATTTCAAACTTACTAGGATAACTTGTTAATTATTTTTATTGGCATATAATCGGATTAGATTAGCATAAGACCCTAATCACCCCCCTCTAGGGTCTAACACTTCTCTCTAACCATAGAGTATGCACTATTGGCTTTTTTATTTTGATGATGATTAACAAACAATTTATAACTAATATTGTTTGTCTAGTGTTTGTATTTTTGTATTTATTGTAGACAAAAAATATGTTGGAGGTTGCATGGAATTACGCCATAATGATAATATCCAATAAAGGTTGGCGGAATAGTGGATTGAAGCAATACAATTCAAGTTGAAGATCCAAATTCAAGCTTCATTCGTAAGTTTACCCAGAAGAGCTTATTGAAGATCAAGATCTTTGCTTGGTATATTAGTTTAGGTTTTATACTTGTGTGTAGGTATTTTAAGCTCATATATACACACACACGTATTTGGTTTATATATATATATATATATATATATATATATATATACATTTTGGTTTTATCCACAAATAAATTCCAAAAAATATTTGTACATGTTTGTTTTCATGCGGATAAGTTATTTTAGTTTAGTTATATAGACATGAAACAAATATACATTCATATACATATTCATATGTTTTATTTTCTATTATATTTGGAAAAATATTATGTTTATGAATTGAAGACTTGTTGTTTACACTATTTTCATATCTTGTATAAGTCTCTAAATCCATTCTAAAGTGTTTCAAAGTTTTGTTTGAGTCATTTTGGTAAAATCAAGTTTTCAACATGCTCATATTTATGTGATTTTGCAAAATGATAAGATTTCACAAATGTGAAGTGCTTTTTGAAAACATGTTCATTTTCATGTTTACAAGTATTCCCCAAAGTTTTATATTTTTCTAAATTTGTTTGTTATTTTTAAAAGCACTTTGAAATTCAGTTTCACTGTTCATAATAGGCTGATAACACGTTATCAGTCGACTGATACATGTGTTCAGTCGACTGAAAAAATAGTCTGGAATAATAAAAAGTTTATGTTTTGTTTTAGTCGACTGATGAGGTCATCAGTCGACTGACCATGCTCATCAGTTGATTGATGATTTGTTGTTGCCTTGTAATGGTTAGCTCATCAGTCGACTGATCAGTCGACCGACGGCATAACGGCTAGTTTTTTCTGATTTTCATGTTGCCGTTATTTTGTCTTTTTGCTGGGATTTCTTGGGTTTTTTGGGCTTTGTCTTATGATCCTATATATACCCCATACCCTCTAACTTCTGAACATAATCAAGAAAGTTTTTAAACAAGTTTTAAAAAGGTGTTTAAGTTTTGTTTAAGTTTGTTTACAAGTTTTGTTTGTGAAGAAATTTTCACAAGAGCTAGTAGCTCTAGAAGAACAACAATGAAGGTGAGATCCAAGGGCTTGATAGTCGATGATTGGATGTTGAAGATAGTGACGAGAAATGGTTGAAAGACTCTGGGGAGATGCAAATATGATCCTCTGTGAACGAATCAAACCTAGCTCCTTCCCTCCCTACCTCTCTCCCACCATCTCTCTCTCTCTCTCTCTCTCTCTCTCTCTCTCTCTCTCTCTCTCTC